TTTTTTTTGCAGATAAGTCATGCATGTTTCCATAGCTATATTCCTACTTAATGTCTGAATCAGAACGCCTCCGCCGAGGCACATCTAATGCACATAGAAAAACCTCCATCGATCAGCTTGCAGTAGCAGACGTGCATTTTCGCGTTTCAATTAACTTAATGTTTGGAGCAATGTGGTGAGTAATATACACAATGTGATGTCATAATCAATAACAAATACAGCATGAGCGGCGCCGCACGATCCTCCAAAGGGTTTCAGCTTTTGCTTGTGGGATAACCTGAGGGTAAGGTAAGTGACAAGAAAGCAAGGCACATTTACTTGTAAAGCTCATGTTAGTTTCGCGTGACTGTGACATGTTGAAATATTGAAATATAAATTTGCACTTAATATCGATTGTTTTGAACCCTTCCTCCAAAAGTCAGACTAGTCTTCTTTAACTGAGTCAGTTTCAAGTTTTTCAAGACAACTGATTCAGAGATGTACGGAATTTATTGAGAATCCAACATCTATCAATGGGAAAGTTGCCTCGCTTAATTTTGACTTTTCTATTTTCTGTTTTTAGATTTCATGCATTGTCAAGTGTCATTTAGAGGGTATCGTTGTTTCCTTGAAAACTTAGATCAGCGAAACAATTAGTGGTGTGAGGAGGCTTGGATCAGGTTAACAAGCAGAAGCGGCAACACTTTGGAGGATTCTGTGCGCCCTCCTCAGCATGTTTTAAAGAAAAGGGTTTTAGAAATATGTTGCAATCGTAACTTGTTTGACCACATATACAATTATCGCTTTAATTTTAGATATGAGAGCTAAAGCGTGACCATCCATTTTAGCCAAGAGGGAGTTATTACTTCTAAGCAGGCTGCGGTAAAGGAGTGTTAAGGTCCATATTCTGAGAAATACGTAGACGAATAAAGTACCATAAAAAGAAGAGTTCTCCGTGACTAGGTAACGATCAACCGTGACCAAAGCAGGCCATTACGTTTCAAAGGTCTCTATACTAAGCGCAACTGTAATGCAGAAAAGCAGATGAAAGGATGCAAATTATTGAAGATGGATGTGTAAAACTAACAAACAATGAAGAGAACGACAAAAAAGAGAGGACCTCTTTGAAAATTAACTCAAATAATGATAGCTCCCATTTTCCGGTCAATATAAGAAGAAAGGATTTGCAATTGGCGTCCAACAATGTCTCCTTAGGCTAAAGCTATACAAGGACACAGAAGCCACCATCAATCGGAAAAGATCGTAAACATTTACAAAATCCAAAGATTGTGAAACCTGGAATCTAATTACAGAGGAATCCCAGTCTTATGTCAGTAAGGAAGAAAGGCAGTAGAGACGAACATCCCCTTAAAAGTTTTGAATCTGATAATGAGAACATAAGTTCAGAAAGGGTAACTGTAGATAGTAGTTGAAGGCAGAAATATGAGAGTAAGATGCAAAGAAGAACTGGAAAAAGGAGAGAGCGAGATCATTTTGAAACGCAAACGCTTTTCGAGAATTTTCCAAACATTGCTGAGGGTAGAAGAAGACAATCGAGTGATCGATATTTGAAATGGAAAGAGCATGGATACATTGACACAATGATTAGCGTTAAATAGAAAAGAATGAGGGGAAGGGAAGGAAACAACTGAGGTGAAAAGAAAAGGTTAGAAAGTGAAATCCGAAACGACTCAGCGTTTCAATAAAGAAGTAGGAAAGGGTGGCTTCAAAAATGTGAGTTTTTAGCTATATAGAGGTCCGCTATAATGTAACCCCAAAAATTGTGATTTAGGATACTTTCGAAAATCTTAGTAGTGCAGAAAGCAAAAACAGTTGGAGGTTAAGCTAGCAATTAATGTAGCCAAGAAATAAACTACATAACTCACACAGATATCAAGCAGTAAGTAAAATTCGATCAGATAATTGTTGCGCTCAACAGAAAAATTGCCGATTTGTTTTCACGCTCTGATGAGAATCGCTGACCCACGGCTTTAGCTGAGTATCTGTTTTGCTTCGTCCTACGTAGTGGAAGTAGACGACATTTTGCAAGTTCAGACAACACTTTTTTCTTTCCATCTTTTGACTGTGTTTTAGTTAGGGTGGATATGCCATTTCCATTATTTTTTTCTTAAATTTCCATAATTTAATTAGCAAACTAATGATTAAAGGTAGGACGTTGGAACTACGTTTATGATTGAGATTAATGGTAGGACCAAAACTTAATGAGGTACAGTTGTCCGGGACTTAGTACCAGCCAGGCGACGCTCACTTTAAAAGTGTAGAATCATCCTCTGCTGTGTTGTTTACGGTACCATCATGCTAGTAGATTCTAAGTAGAACACTAATACGTATGAATAAGCACGTTGAGGACTGGCCGAACTATATTTG